ATTCTCAATTCCCATAATAGAATGAACAAAATAAACAGGAATTAAGTTGATCCTAAAATGTACTAGTTACATATAAGAAGTCCCTTTGTAGCAGTAAGAGTGATTATACTGTGACCTAGGCTATTAAAGGGATTAGAGGGTTGTACTCTTTTACTCATTCAACATGCATTTATTGGTATCCAAGTATTTTCCAAAAAGTAACTTATGGAGATAATAAATATTGCAGTCTGATCACATTTAGAGTTTAGCCATTCCTTGGTGTGGAAGGAGAAGACTGGGCCCTTTTTGTAAAATACTCTTATTTGAAGAATCCCACAAAATGCCATCATAGTAAAACCACTTGATCTTTAGCAAACTGAGGTTGCTCTATCCGTAGAAGACCAGCAAAGACATGTGATTGTAGGCAGCCCACTGACTTCCCCTCGCCCTTCTTGTGACAAGAAGATACAGTGGGTAGTGGAGGGACGGGCTGACTGGCCCTGGTGTCACGGTGAGGATGACCTCGCTGCCATGGACCTTCCTTCTCTCATCCTCATTCCTTCCATTCTCTGCTTACACGAGGGCGGTGTGATGTGGATAGTCCAGCACACTCAAAGTTAGACTTGTGATTAAGTGTCGATCTCCAGGAGCCAGAAGGCCCGGATGTTGTTCTGTTTTGTATTTGTTGTTCACTCGTCACAAAGCTGGAAGTCTAGCCTGCTCCTTTGTCTCAGATTCCCTCTTGCAGTGAGGATTCTTTCACTTAAGAACCATAAAGTGCTTTTAGCATTGTCTTCAACATTATCTTCTACTTCAGAATGGGAAATAAGACCTTTTGAGTTTATTTTGAGCTTATTTGAAAGTGCCACAAGGAAAATTGTTTTTTATTTTACTCCATTTCCAGGACCCTAGTTTACTCCAAAGGAGTCTGAAATATATGTTCATATTAGTCTGATTGCTTGGCACCCACTGAGATTGTTACTGGGGAGGCTTTGGTGTAGAAACCCCAAAGCAGATGTCTTTAATGCTGCTTGAGGTCACTGAACACTTCCAACCATTAGACTTGACATAAAAGACAAGGCAATCATTCCAAGGTCAAAGTCACTCAGCAATTGTGCTAATGCTACAGTGAGTGGAACTTGATTGATTTTCAAAATACTTGTTTTGCAAAATGAAACAACATATTTTAGTGCACTTAGTATACTTAGTATATTTAAAGTTTTGAAATTCCCTTTTATTCAGTTTGAATCAATATAAATTTAATTCTATGAAGCATGTATGCATATGTGTACACATGTAAATGGGCAAGTGTGTGTATGAATAATATATGTAAATACATGAACATTCATGCACCTAGATATAAAACATGATATAGAACTGATACAATTAATACATATATATTCAAAAGTTAATTTTTTCAATTTTATAGAAACAAAAAGTAAACATGATACAAATTCACTTTATAAAATTTTTTTAAACCTAAGATTAAACTTTATTTGCTAGAATTACTTGTTAAAATACTAACCATTTTACAAGATATCAAGATAAAACATTATTGTAGGAAACCAAAATACACACTGAATATTCTATCTTTTGCTCTATAAAACAACGAACTATTATGTATAGATTACAATTCAGTTGTCATTAACTGGCATTCAGTTCATATTTTAGAACTATCCTGACTTGATTGCAACTCACAACAGTTTTCTAAAATGAGCCCGAAGTGGAATGTATTTATGTCCTAGGTGAAATATTCTAGCTGTTAAGGGGATTAAAATTGAATATATATAATACAGTGAATAACATATACATAAAAAGGAATGATGACAACTTACGACTCAGATGTTGGTGGAAGCATTTATATTAAAAATAGTATCGTTCTCATAACATACCAGTTTTTCATGTGAAATTCTGATTTTGTATTAGCAGTTATATCAGCATTTTGGGGTGCAAGAGCAGTTTGGGGTATAATCTAGAAATCAAAGGATGGACTGGTAAATATGGATAGACACAGATATTGACAGATCTATGTAAATAGATGTATGTTAACCTAATATTTCGTGTAATTTCAGCCTATAGTTTTCTATTGGCTTTTAAGATCAAAGCTGTTCAGAAGGGACCATCTGAGCTTTGCTTTGGTGGCATGGGCTGCATTTTGTAACATTGGACTTGGTTGCTTTTGATAGTGGAGAATCCGCATGGGTGGTCCCTCCCAGGGAATTCCATTTCTCTATGGTTACAACTCACCTGAAATGTTTCTTCTTGTGGAAAACATTTTCTGAGGGCTCTTTCTCCCTCTTTCCAGCTACAGTTTCAAGATGCATCATAGTCCTCATAACAGTGATACTCAGCCACTGTGTTTGAGTGTTACAGGAGGAAATGGAGAATTACTTCAAAAGATCTAAGAGAGTATTTTTTGTTTTATAAAGATTATAACTAATGTCAGTTTCCCCAAAACTTTCATGTAGTAAAACTCTTTATTCTTGTTTTTTTCTCCAGCATTCTTACTTTTAAATATATATATATATATATATTTAATGATTTCAGAGAGGAATGGACAGGGAGAGAGATAGAAGCATCAATGATGAGAGAGGATCATTAATTGGCTGCCTCCTGCATGCCCCCGACTGGGGATCAAGCCGGCAACCTGGTCATGTGCCCTTGACCGTAATCAAACCTGGGACCCTTCAGTCTGCAGGCCAACGCTCTGAGCCAGACTGGCTAGGGCGCATTCTTACTTTTTATCCTAATTTGTACTTCCAGTGAAATTTTTAGAATGTTGATCTACTGTTTCCCAAATTCTTTAGTGATAAACAGCTAAAAAACAATTTAATTTTGAAAAAAATTAAGAAACAATATATGTTGAAAGGGATAAGAACAAAACTTTGGTATTCTAATAATAAAGAGCCATTTGGGGATTAATTCCAGGCCATTAATAATCTTTTCAGATTATTTTCAATATTCTTTTGTCAAGTATAGGCAATGAAGATTTTGTTATTAATGTATTTATAGGTTGGTTAGCCATAAATAGTTTATGAATAGAGACATTTTTAGCAGTGCCTAATGGCCAGCAAGTACAAAGAAATGCCTTTTCTAACTTTGCACTTATTTGCATAATTCAAATAAGCATATAGCCAGAGTTGCTTCTATATGTATCCTTTCACATTCCTTAATGCTCCATTCAGACCTCGAGAATTCCATCTCCAAGCAATTGGTTTGGGTGGGAATGGAGCAGAAAGGATATTTGATAATGAAGCCAAGAGGATTTGCTTTCTTTATGAGAGCAAAGAAATATCTGTGTAATAGAATCCATTGTTTTTATGTGCAAAGTGTTATTTTAATTTTGGGAGCTTATGCATTGAGACACCATTCTCCATACCACAGTTAATTTCCTGACCAAATATACCTTGACTATCGCATTAGCATATTTAATTCATGTTGTTTTTCAGCAGTTCTTGATACATCTTTGACCAATTGGATAGACTCCTCTAATACAGCATCTTTTATCTCTGACACTTCTTGTACATTGAGAGTCCCAATTGTCTATAAAGTGTGAGTGAAACAATGTGGTTTATATCAGGATAGGTAACTCTTATCTTAGCTATACCTATTTATTTCATCTTCCTAGCAGGATCTGAAGCATGAGGAAAGATCGATTAGACATGCATGGTTGTTGAGGTGGTTGCAGTCTGCAGAACTCAGAATGAAACCCTTCCCTACCAGCCAAGCCTGAAAGGAGCTCTCTCTCCTTCAGACTTTCATAATTCTGGTTGGTGGTGTTACTACTCAAATCAGCATCCATGAGTTACTCAGTGCTGTGCTGTTGAGCTGGTTGGTACATGATTCCCGTGTATGTTCTTGAGCTGTTACTTGACTCTGACCATATAATGTATATCTATAAAAGCCTAAGTGACCATTATGACCTGTCGACCGAACAACCAGTTGACCGGTCGCTATGATGATGCACTGACCACCAGGGGGCAGATGTTCAACACAGAAGCTGCCCCCTGGTGGTCAGTGCACTCCACAGCCAACCTCCCCTGGCCAGCCAATCTCCCGCAGTTCCCCGCAGTTCCTCCCCCTGGCCGGCCCTGATAGGGAGTAGGCGAGACAGCCCCAATTGGCCCAATCACCAGCCAGGCCAAGGAACTCCATCCATGCATGAATTTGTGCACTGGGCCACTAGTTACTCTATATATATGTATGCATTTGATCTTTCCAACTAAACTGGAAACTCATTCAGAATTAAGATTGTGCCTCTTGAACTTCTTTGCTAATTTCAATGCAATAAGTGAAATACCTCACACAAGGGAAGCCTCTGTAGTATGGCAGGTGGGATACCAGGTAGAATGGAGGTGGGACCAGGTGGTGACAGTGGGAAGGTGTCTGTGACCACTGAAAACTGCCCTGCGTCCTGAGCTGGAGAAGTTGCTGTGAGACAGGAGCACAATGTGTCTAAGGTAGAGCTGGTAGGTGATGTGAAGGCCAGGGGAGACCCTAAAATTCGGAAGGCTGCAGACCTTCTGGTTACAGAATGGTGTTTCAGAACATTAGCTCTACTCTGTGGACCACTTCACAGCAGGACTTCCCAGCTCTTAGCTTGTTACTGGTCCTGTTCTTTGAACGTAAGTATATTAAACGAGGGCCCTTGTTTCTTTCACTCGTGTCCAAAACCCATTCATTTTTAGGATTCTGATAACACTGTCAAATGGATATTTCTGAGTATCCTATTTTGGGTTGACACCATGTATGTTCCGTTGATGAGTTTTGCATAAATTTACCTTCGTTATATGTATATGGATTCCTGGGAGTGCAGGCTTGGGCTTCCAAGTCCAAGTTGGCATTCGTAACAGGATAGATTTGAGACCAAGCGGCTGGGCTCCTCCTCGTACGTCCCCTTGTACTAGTATAATTGCTTGACTGTACTCACTGCATCATAAATAATAATGAAAGCAAATGTACATTTATCAGGGAGAATCAACAAACCCAGCACTGACTTGCGGACTGCCCTTGTCCCACAGGCATTAAGGCCAGCTTCCGAACAAGGGAGCCTGAAGGTTTGCTCGTCTTTGCCGCGTCCCCGGGCAACCAGGAGGAGTACTTTGAGCTTCAGTTGAAACACGGACGTCCTTATTTTCTCTTTGATCCTCAGGTAAATGATTACTCATGAGAGTTGAGATGTTTTTAAATATATATTTTTATTGATTTCAGAGAAGAAGGGAGAGGGGGAGAGAGAGAGAAACATCAATGATGAGAATCATTGATTGACTGCCTCCTGCATGCTCCCTACTGGGGATCTAGCCTCAGGAATGTGCCCTGCCCGGGAATCAAACTGTGACCTCCTGGTTCATAGGTCAATGTTCAACCACTGAGCCACACTGGCTGGGCAAGAGTTAAGATTTTTGAGTTTCTTAGGTGCCAGGTACTAAGGTAAGTACTCATGTTTTCACATCAAATCCTCAGCAGAAACACAGAGGTAAGTACTATTATTATCCCCACTTTAGCCATGAAGAAAAAGAAACTTACAACAAGTGATGTAACTTGCCCAAAGCTAAAATGGCAGAGCTAACTTTCAGAGCACATAGTTGTACTCAACACAGTTAATGACCATATGTTTCTTATATAATGAAGATGAGAACTTTTAAATAAATTTGGGGAATATTCTTTCATTGCTTGTTCTTCTTTGGGTAGAGATAGCAGCACAGCCCCTTGCACAGAGTGGGAGCTCCCCAGTGTTTAAAGGAGCTTATGTTTGTTTGATATCCCTCCCATTGACATTCAAGCTACTTCTCTTTTAATTACTCTGGGGCTCTACCTGAGATGAGATTATCTAATGAACATCCTATTGTAGTCATCAGATAAGTAGTTATTTCCTTAATGTGTCTTTCTTACCAGACTGCAGAACCCACTGAGGGCAAAGTCTATTTTGTCCTCAAATATATTCTTGAGGCTTCACACAACCCTTGGAGCATAGTACATGCTCAATAAAGAAATGTCTGTTGACAGATTGGCTAATTTAATGACTTGAAAATCATTAGTAAACTACTACTCGGGCTCGAAGACAGTTACCCATTTTCTAGAATAAGATTTCTAGCTCTTTAAAGATTATGTAACAATTTAATTATTTGTTTTATCAGTTAGATACTTTTACTTTTATTAATGGTTATTTTTAAATTATAGGTCCTGAATCTATTCAAAATCATTAAATTTTGAGTTGTAAAAAGAGCATTTTTTAGGAATTTAAAGTTACTGTCTGGCATATAGTTTTAAAATAACTCGAAGTTATTGTGTACTTTGTTCTTATAAAAATCTCTTAGTGAACATAAGTAATGAATGGAATGCATAACATACAATGTAATCCTACATGGAGGCTACAGGTGTAAAAATTTATTTGGTTTCCCTTCTAGCTATCCAATGCATTCTATGAATAAATATTTAGGGGAAGGGAGAAAGATTCTTCATAATATTTAAAATTACATATGTGCTATCATATTCTGGACTGAACTCTTGGAACCGTTAAGGGTCATGGCAGAGACAAATGACTCCAATTTTTTAAAAAAATATATTTTATTGATTTTTTACAGAGAGGAAGGGAGAGAGATAGAGAGTTAGAAACATCGATGAGAGAGAAACATCGATCAGCTGCCTCCTGCACATCTCCCACTGGGGATGTGCCCGCAACCCAGGTACATGCCCTTGACCGGAATCGAACCTAGGACCTTTCAGTCCGCAGGCCGACGCTCTATCCACTGAGCCAAACCGGCCTCGGCATGACTCCAATTTTTAATAGTATTTTTTTATAAAGTCTAACAATTAGCTATAATCTTTCCATTCTTTACTGGATTGGTTTCAGTTTGAATTTACTTGATCAGATGATATTTTATTGACCAACAATGACTTGACTAGTGATTATCATTTAAATATTTTATGTTCAGTGACATTAACAGGAAATCCACAAAGCATTCTGATTTCATTTACTAGAAAGCTATGACAGTGAAAGGTTTCCAACATTCTGAATAGCTTCTATTTAACATGTCTGATATCTTCCAAATGGGAAGAACAAACTGTATGACATGACACCAGAATTGATCACAGCATTATTCTCTTACCGTTGATTGGGGGAAATCATCTTTAAAATGATGATCAAAGAATAATATGCTAAGTAGAAAGCATATTTGACATACCGAGTCTGTATGTTCTTGCCTTGACTTTATCTCCAATAAATGCGATTTCCAATGTAGAGACCTATTAATACTTCAGATAGTTGCCAAACATAATATGAAGAAGCACTAACTCGGGCACCTGATCTTTTAGAATGCAGCATCGTTTGTAACAATTTTAACGCTAACTAAGTACACTTTGATGAGACAGCATTTAATAAAATGCTCATTAATTTCATCATTAGCAAGGGTATGCTAAGAAGTAAGCCAGTTTCTTATGTCACGCCCAATTAGCATCCCATGCTAGTAATCCCATTAGTATTGTTGAATTCACTAATGGAAAAACTAATGGGCATGGTACCAGGGCACATTAATTGGGCACGACACCAGTTCTGGTTTTAATTATTAAACTACGATAATGAAATGTGTGTTTGTAAAATATTAAAATGTTGAAATAGGGTTGAAGGAAATAAAAAGGCATGCAGAGGAAAGAGATATAAGAAAAGTCAGCCTATGAAAATCCAAGGGCTAGAAAATGGACTTACCAAGTGGTCGTTTCCTTGCCAATCGAGTTGTCTATAGAGGTTGGGATATTGTCCATGAGAGAAGCAAGCCAGTTATACTCCTGGGAAATTAAACGCTGCTTTTTTTGTAATATGAAATTCTGTATGTCATACGTGTTGTCATGCTCTGTATGAGGCCTGACAGGAGCCAATTAAATGTGTAGAATGGACATGTTATATTGCTGAAGCTATTTTAGGGAAATTTAAACATAAATGTTTTAAATAGTATGGTTAACATTGCACTTTTTGTGATATAAATCTTCAGCCATATTACATCAGATAATGATCAGTTTTCTCTCTTTGAAAAACACGACACCAAAATAAGTAGTTTTGTGAAACATTCCAAGTAAGAGAATATTTTGTAATATTTTACCCAATCTTATTTTTGGTTTTTAAATATTGTTATTGGATTGAAGTTAAGTGTTGCTAAGGAAATAAACTTCATTAAGAAAGAAATATTTATTTATTTATTTATTTAGAAGGTTTAGAATAATTTTCTGATTGCTTTTCTTATTAGTAGTATTAAATGATGATGGTGACAAAGTTCAGATATCTTTTATTTAGTCTTACTTGCTCATACACGCTAACGGAGTACCATTGTGTCAGTCGTGATGTACTGAAAAGGTGTTCACTTGGCTGTAAAGTGCTGAGACAGAAGGTTCTTTTTCCTTCTCTTTTCTTACCCCCACATCCTTTTTGCAAATCTCAATTCTTGATATCTGTCATTTCTTAGTACCCACTTAGAAACTCATTTGAACTGTGATACTATTACCTGAGGCATAAGTATGAATGCTAGATTTTAGAGTACAAGCATTGTGTACTATGTTTAACCACAACACGTACGGTCAATTTTTTTTAGTAGCTGGCTGATTTTAATGTGACCGCATTCCTTATTAGTAGTGTAATGTACATAAGAAAAACTAACTTGCCAGACCTTTCCCTGTCATTAAAACAATATCAATTGAATAGTGTTTTATTAGTTTCAACTTCTTATCTTTTTAAATATTACTGACAAAAATTAAAATATAAAAGTTTAAAAGAAAATTCATTACCTTTCTGATGAATGTAGCTCATCAAAATGTAAATGTACTTGTAAGAAATTCTTATTCCAAAGAGAAGTTCTGTTCAGGGTAGGTTTACAATTGTTCATATGGGAAATAATATAGTAATTCATAAATGATAATACAAGAATAAGTTGTGTTTTGTATACTCACAACGGTAAACCTAATTTTCCCCATTCTGTATATGTATTTTTGTTTGAACATGTGTTCATTCATTCATTCATTCACTCTTTCATTCCCTTCAGGGGTCTTCAGTGGAAGTAACCACCACTAATGATGATGGTAAACAATACAATGATGGCAAATGGCATGACATAGTTGCTGTGAGGCATCAGGCTTTTGGCTGGATCACGCTGGACGGGCAGTACACAGGTAAGAAGTTGATGTATATAAGTGGCTGTTTATATGCTGATGTTGCCATACTTATTTTTATATCTCTCCCTTCACCTTTTCCTCCACACAATTTCATCTAAATTGCATTTGAGTTGGCCTTTGGGTGCCTCTTAAAAGAAGTCTGGCAACCATATTCTCATCTATGTAGGGTTTCAGTAAAGGAAAAAGAAGACAAAGTCATCAATGGCAATTTCATATCTTGTACATTTCCTTGCAATCTGCCACGGCTTGTACTTATGTTCTGAACTTCATGTGACTTTTGACTTCAGGAGACAAATAAAATAAAGCAGTTATTATATGCATTTTAGTGATAAGGAAACCAAGCCTCAGAAAAGGTACATAATTTCTCCCAGTTTATATGGTTGGTGGGTTGTGTTGTTGGGGTTACATATCCTGTCTTTGCAATTCTAAGTTGAGTATCTTTCCATCTTACCCTGTCTGTCATCATCCTGCAATTATAGGACAGTCATAGTACCTGTATGATGTTGCAGGCTTTTATTCATTCATTCAGGATATATAGTATAGCACTTACTATGTGCCACCCACTGCTCTAGGAATTCTGGACACAAAGAGCAAAATTTACACTTTAGGTGGGAGAGGGACAGGGATCAGAATAAATATATATTGAACAAGTGTGAGAAACATGCTGAGAATAATAAAGTAGGATAGGAGGGAAAGGTGTGTGGGTGTGTGTTGGGAGGGGATGTTCTGATTTTATTAAAGACTGTTAGAAATGGCCTGTCTGCTAAGCTGACATTTGAGTAGAGACCTAAAGGGGTAAAGGGGACAGTCAGGAAAGTCTTCAGCAGAAGGCTGTTTCTGGCCAAGGAAACAGTAGGTGCCAGGCACCTGAGGTGGGAGATGTCATATGAGGCATGTCTACAAACCAGCAAGAGGCCAGCGTAGGATGTAAAGGGGTGGAGGGCTGGTGCAGGCTGTGAGGTCAGAGAGACCATGAGGACTGTATGAAGTGAGGCTTGGAGGACTTTTACTTGGAAAGAAGAAAGCTAGGGAACTCTGAGAGAGGAGCCACGTGGAATGACTTCTTTCTTTAAAGGAAACACTCTGGCTGCTCTTAGGAGAATACATTTTATGGGAACAAGAGTAGAAGCAATGGAGACCTGTGAGTAGGCTTCTGCTATAATAAAATAATTCAGGCAAAAAAAAATAGTTCGTTTTTTTGAACCAGGGAAGCAATGAGAGGTAATGGATATATATCTGGATATAATGAGGAATCTGGAGAGATTGTAAATGTTACATTAAAAGGATTTGAACAGGCATACTACCACCTTTGGGCCATTGTAAGCTCATGTCTGTTTTCATAAAGTTTTATTGAAATGTGACTATCCATTTGTTATGTATAGTCTGTGGCTGCGTGGGGCTATACGATCTGCAAAGACTATAATATATACTATCTGGTCCTTGACAGAAAGGGTGCTGCTCCTGAGTGCTAGGTTTGGGGCCCCTGGAAGAATGTAGCTGCCATAACTAAGATGGACCAGAAATCAGGAAAAGCAGGTTGGAAGAATGAGATGTTCAGCGTTCAGTGTTAAGTCTTGTATCTCTATGAGGCTGGATCCACGTGGAGATACCAGGCAAGTTGCTGGACATACAGGACTCAGTTCAGGGAGATTTGCAGGCTAGAGAGACAGGTGGGAGTTGTCGGCAGAGGTGCTCCCAAACAGCGGAGGGGTTGTATTTAAAGTTAAGGGACCAGGCATACCTGGGCTCCTTGCCATGGTTTGGGCTGGGAAAAGGAAATTGATTTGCATGTTTTTGCAATAGAATCAGGGCCCCGGGCCCCTCTGGTCTTTGGCCCTGGTAGTTCGCACAGGAGCCCAGCCCCTTGTCTATTCCTCCAGGGGCATCATTGTAAGTGGAGAAAGAGATCAGAGAGGGGAGGAGGTCTGAGTCATTCAACATCCAGACGTTTGGGGTGATGAAGAGGAACATGTGAAGAAAATTAACCAGGATGGGGACTAAGGGAAGAGGAGGACCAAGAAAGAGCGAACTCCCCAAAGCCCATGAAGGGGTTAATCGTTCGTTAAATTAGTAGAAAGGGATCCCCCTGCAGCCCTTACTGGTGTGGCTCAGTGGATAGAGAGAGCGTCGGCCTGTGGACTAAAAGATCCTGTTTTCGAGTCCAGTTAAGGGAGCACATGCCCGGGTTGCAGGCTCGGTCCCCAGTAGGGGGCGCGCAGGAGGCAGCCCATCAATGATTGTCTCTCATCATTGATGTTTCTATCTCTCTCTCTCCCTCTCCCTTCCTCTCTGAAATCAGTAAAAAAGATATTTTTAAAAAAGAAAAAGACCCTCCTGCTGAGGTTGGGATTCTCTCTTCTCCTCCGCAGGTTCCTCGGGGCTTTTGAATGGCAGCACTATCATCGGAGAGAACACGGGCGTGTTTGTGGGAGGCCTGCCGCGGGGCTACGCCGTCCTGAGGAAGGACGCCGGTGAGTGTGGGGGGGCACGGGATTGATATGTTGTCGCCAATATTTAGAATAGTATCAAATGGCATTACTGAAAAATATGAGTAATGTATTATTTCATATGTCATGTTGGTTTCCTGTATCAATATGCCACAAATTTCTACTAGGTTTCTTTTTTCCCCCCTTAAGGAACCACGTGTTACTTGCATTGAAAATCTTAGTGATTAGTCTTTGATGTATCAGAGTTCATTAAACTTGGACTTACATGAATTATACTAATTTCAGTCAAAGTGATGATGCTTTATTTGAGCATTATGTGTCAATTTTTTGGAGATTTTTAAATTGAACACAAAACAACACTGAAAACAGAAATGCCAGTGGCTTGATTTTCAGTTTAAGTGAATGGGGCAGAGAACTGGCCGGACGGTGGGCAAGGCACTACTCAGACCCTGGATATCCGTCAATGGCTAACATGAGGCCTTTGCCATGATGGAGAGAGCAGATATGCCAACAGATAATCCCAGCCACGTGCCCTACGTGCCGGAATTGGGGCACAAATTAATTCCTATATTTGAGGACATAGAACAAAAACTGACTCTAAAGTGAAATTAATAAAACTAACGTGAATGAGATTAATCTAAGGAAACAAAATCACCCTTCCTAGAAATGAGGTCAACTTACTGACTGACTTGTATAACAGACTAGTTTATTATGATGATGGAACTAAACTGTAAACTATAGATTTAATAGAAACACTTCCTTCAAATACTTTTAAAATGTGACCACTCTTTCATTTTTAAGACCGTGGCTGATGAAATCTCCTTCTTAGTTCAAAAGTCAGTATTCTTGCTAATACTATAAAACTAAGGGTTTTTGCTTTAGCATCTCTTTCTGCATATAGGATGGGTCTGAACCAGGGCTAAATATTCTGTTACCACTTAGCATAGGTGGTGGTGTGGCATTTACATGAATCATTAAGAAGTTTGCAATAAATAGGTAGAGAGCGAGTGCCCAATTCTTTTATTTTAATTGCACATAAAATTAATTGCTTGCAAAGCATTTTTCACAAGACATATTTCTTGATGTCTGTCAACTCCTGCAGGCATAGTCCGAAAGGGTTTTGTGGGCTGTCTCAAGGATGTGCATTTTATGAAGAATTACAACCCCTCCGCTGTTTGGGAGCCTCTGGTTTGGCAGAATTCTGAAGAGCAGGTCAACTCCTATGACATCTGGGAGGGATGTCCCTCTTCATTGCAAGAGGGAGCCCATTTCCTCGGAGCAGGTAGGTCCTCACGTAGCCGTCGGTCATTGCTGTGCACCCATGTTCCATCCTTGGCGTACTTGGCTCTCCCCTGTCCAGTTACTTAGACCTCATGTGAATACCTAGTTATGCCTGATGCTCAGAGTTTGGTAAGAATCATAAATATCTCTTCGTGCGGAAGCTCTGTGATGGCCCAAAGCAGCTCTGAGTGTACATGTGGAGGTGTCACAAGTGTCCATTTGTCAGTCCGTTGTTTTACTTAGAATGAAATGTACTTAGAAAGATGTTTCAGCTGGCCAGTGTGGCTCAGTGGTGAAGCACTGACCCAGGATTCCAGAGGTCACTGGTTCAATTCCCGGTCAGGGCACATGCCCAGGTTGCGGGCTCGATCCCCAGCAGGGCGTGTGCAGAAGGCAGCCAATCCATGATGTTTCTCTCTCATCATTGATGTTTCTATCTCTCTATCCCACTCCCTTCCTCTCGCTCTTAAAAAAAAAATGTTTCAAAGGAGTTACCAGATTAACCCACAGATACCTGTTTATTATGTAGAGGGCCAATATTTCTCAGAGTAAAAGTTCAGCTTGTAAGGAGCTAAGTAGGTCCTGAAGGGAGAGCTGGAGAATATAACCACTGTCACTGCCATTTGTCCCAAGGCTGCAGCAAGGGGGAGGTGCAGTGTCCCTGGCATGTCCCCAGCTACTGTCTTTGCCTGGCAGCCCCCCAGGGGAAGGGGGGGAGCATGGCCGCTTGGGGGACATGGCTTGTTCTTCAAGTGAAAGCCCACCTTTGCCTCCTGCCTTTAGAATGAGGTTGGTCAGTTACTACATTGCTTAAATTACTTTCAGAATAGAAAGCCACATGTGTACACTTCCATTGCTCTTTCTCTTGTCACTGTCATTATTCAGAGTTTCTATGAAGTCAGTGCAAGTGCTTATTGTTAATGGTTGTATGAAACAATAACAGTCTTAGTTGTAGCCATGATTTAAAGAACAAAGTACTTCCTCTTAAAAGGTGTGTCAAGTTCCTTCTGCCACTTCTGTAAAGTTACAGGATTTCTGTTACGTGTGTGTGTTGTTTTTTATTGATTTCAGAGAGGAAGGGGAAGGGGGAGGGATAGAAACATCAGTGAAGGGACATAATCATCGATCGGCTGCCTCCTCCACGCCCCCTACTGGAGATCCAGCCTGCAACCCGGGCATGTGCCCTGACTGGGAATTGAACCTCGACCTCCTGTTTCATGAGTTGATGCTCAGCCATTGAGCCACCCCAGCTGGGCTACAGGGAGATTTCTTAACATTGATTGGCATCTTCTTTTGTGAGAGATTTACCCAACCGCAGTGTGTATCCTCAGGGTATCTTAGGACATACAATGCTGGCAGTTTTTCATTCAACGTGCTGATATGTGCATATTCTTTTCTTTGAAGGGTTCCTGGAACTTGATCCAGGCACATTTCATGGCGGCCTGGACTTTGAGATTTCCTTCAAGTTCAGAACAGACCAATTGAATGGGTTGCTCCTTTTCATTTACAACAAAGACGGACCTGATTTTCTTGCTGTACGTTAATTCTTTTAATTAAATATATTTTAAAATGTCAGATTCTATTGTAAAATAAACAAACCATGGGCTTACGTTATACTAAATTGGGGACATATGTAATACTTTCAACAAAAAAGATTTTTTTAAAAATAGACTAAAAATGACACTTTGGGAGAGAGAAGTTCATTTTCTTAAAGAAAAGCAAGGAATGTACCTGAGCCCCACCAGCATGGCTCAGTGGTTGAGCATTGACCTAGGAACCAGGAGATCGCAGTTTGGTTCCCAGTCAGGGCACATGCCTAGGTTGTGGGCTCGGCTGTCTCTTGCACGCCCCACACTGGGGATTTTTTTCCAGATTCACTTTCGTTTTTATTTTTTTCTCCCAAGCCACATCACTTTCCATTCTGGAGGCCTTTCCCAGTTCCCAGAATCTCTCTCATCAACCCCGTTTCCATCTTGGCTATGGTGTTATTTCCCATACTCTCTCCGCTGTTACACAGTGTTTATCTCAGAGCCGCAGGTCCATGGAACATAGCAGCGGGTTCCATGTTTATTGCACGAATGAATAGTTAAATGAAGAACTGCTTACCTGATGTACTTCACAAAGATGCTGCTTACACATAGCAAAAGTAGTCATTTTATCTGGCTTTACTTATTTGTTTCATTAGACACGATTGAGCTCAAGTTTTTAAGTATCCTGTGGTCGCTGATTTGACTTCTAACAAAACAACAGCCCAGTAGGGAAAATAGCTATCATGTACCATTTTGAAGGAAAACTTAGTGGAGGCATTTCCTGTTTCATGAAAAATTGGGCAAACTATGTTCGTATTAGAAAATGGCACCTTAATCTGAAAGAAGCAATTATGTTAGTTAGAGATTTAAACTAATAAAACTGAAATAGTACATCAAAATATGCCTTACAAATTTGAAATTGAGTTCACTAACCAGTTAAAATAAACTTAATCAAGCTTGACATTTCATTTTCTTATTGTCATATTTCCCCCCCAAAATTAAATTGATATACAAAGTGGTATTTTCTCATTTTCTAAAAAACTCAAAAACAGAACCATAGTTCAAACTGTTCTGTCCTCTTCAGTCACCTATGCTTGTGTATAATCTTGACCTCGTTGCATCCCCAAAAAGTATCTGCCTGCCTCATGTTGTGTCATGTGATATAATCATTACTGCCTATGACTTTCTTTGACTCACTACAGTATTCTTCATGTCAATTATAAGCTTGCAAAGTACTTCATTGTATGCTACTCCAGTTTGGCTTAAAACAAAGTAGACTCTTTATAGAGCACTTTCAGAGACATTTCTTTCTTTTTTTAAAAAAAAATATTTTTTATTGATTTCAGAGAGGAAGCAAGAGGGAGAAAGAGATGGAAACATCAATGATGAGAGAGAATCATTGATCGGCTGTCTCTTGCACGCCCCACACTGGGGATCAATCCCACAACCTGGGCATGTGCCCTGACCGGGAATCGAACTGTGATCTCCTGGTTCCTAGGTCAGTGCTCAACCATGGGTTATGCATACAAGGTCTTTGGTTGATCTCTTCCCACCCACCCGCCCACCCTTCCTCCCCTGCCTTCCCTCAGAGCTAGTCTTTTCATACCTGTTTGGTTCTTTACTATGAATGCAGGTGGAGCTGAAGAGTGGAATACTGAGCCTCCGGTTAAACACCAGTCTTACCTTCACCCGAGTGGATCTGTGGCTGGGGCTGTCCTACTGTGATGGGACGTGGAATAAGGTGACGGTTCGAAAGGAAGGTGCCCTGGTGTCCGCCAGCCTGAATGAACTGATGGAGCGCATGTCACAGCCCAGAGCCCAGCCGCTGGCGGTGAATTCCGCCGTCTACCTGGGAGGAGTCCCCCCTGAGCTGCAGGACTCTCATGCACACCTGGGTTTGGAGCCAGGTAAACTCCACCCGGAGGAATCGCCAAATCATGGCAGCCCTGGTCTTACCAGGTTTGGGTGGTTCTGTTTGGGTGGTTCTTGTTTTAAGATGTAGCGATAGAGTCAGGGTAAAAGCAACTCCCACCCACCCCTTTATTGCATAAAAAAATATATATCACGTCTTCCCATAGTTTTGTATATTGCCCTTAGGAGTATGCCCTCCTCCATAATCATTATATTTATAATGAATATATGTATTCTAACATGTCTTCAGAAAATTTAATTTATATATTATATACTTCTATGTTTTCCTGGGAAACATGTGGTTCTGGGTTTTTTTGAAGACTGATCATTATATTTACAGAATAAAAACATAAATTAGGTTGGTGTGCAGCTAGGAAACTGGCGTTCAGGTCACCAGGGCTGTTTTCTGCCATAAGTGCTAAGTGTCTCCTTGCATCTCCATGGCCCTCTCCTGCAGCAACATGCACAGAGAGCTGGGTTTAGCTGAGTTTCAAACATGCTTGTGAAAAATATGTTTCATTGATTTTTCATAACCAGGAAGGAAAAGTTCATGAGTGTATGAGTCATACTGAAGTATTTAACTCATATCACAGGTTTTAACATAAGCAGAGGAAAAAAATAACTCACGTAACTCAGCATTTAACTCACATAATGAGATTGAGCATAATTAGATAAATTGTTTATTTTGAAAGGTACCAAAGGCTGATTTTGTGCTGGGTGCCGGGCATGGTTCTGAGAGCTTTCCACGAGATGGAGTTTGTTGTTCCTAAGGAGCCTAGGAGTTAGGTGTTACTATCCGTATCTATGTCCCCATTTGACTGATGAGGAACCTGAAGAGCAGGGAGGAAAGTATTTTGTCCAAAGTCACGTGGCTGGTAAGCAGCCGGCAAGCCCTTTGGTTGGGCATCCAGGCGTCAAAGTCCACTTTCTTATAAGAAGTGCTCTCTTCATGGGCATGGGCCACTGTTCCTTCTCTATAAGGCAGTGGTTCTCAACCTTCTGGCCCTTTAAATACAGTTCCTCATGTTCTGACCCAACATAAAATTATTTTCGTTGCTACTTCATAACTGTAATGTTGCTACTGTTATGAATTGTCATGTAAATATCTGATATGCAGGATGGTCTTAGGCGACCTCTGTGAAAGGGTGGTTCGACTGCCAAAGGGGTCTCGACCCACAGGTTGAGAACCACTGCTATAAGGGGTGGGGGGGCGGGACACAGAGACCCCCAGCCTGTGGCCCGGCATGCTCCCACATAGAAAATGGTCTCTACCTAGTCCCCAAACCCACGCACTGTGAATGGTTAAAATTTCCACAAAGCAGCTTTTGCCTATTTGGTAAGTACATAAAGATTTAAATGCCTTCGAATAGAAAATATATGGCAAGCTCTAAGAAGACTTTTAGAAGGGTACGGGTAAGGAGTTAATGAATATCTGAGGTGTACGACAGTAATGACATTTTCAAGGCACTTAAGATGTAACAGAGGCTGGAAATATTACATCCATATAAAGGCTTCTCCTGAATTCAGGTTGCCGGGGTGAGAAAGAGCTTGGAAACCCTTTATCTGAGCAAGATGACTTGACCTTATTTAGATCTAGGAAAAAAAAATTCCTACCATGCATTTTACTCTAAAGTGTTCCAACACCTATTCCCGTGAGGGCCCTAGAGACATGGCTTAAACTGGGATTGTCATATTATAATGACAGAAGTTTAGAACATCAACCTAGACCCAAGGGGAATGATTTAATCTACGCTGTGACTGAGTCTATAATCCTGAAAGATACTTTATTTATGGGTAATACTAAATTTTTATCAGTGCAGTATCAGCTACATCAGGCAGTCTCAAACCACTGATAAAATATGAAGTACAGTACATATTAGGACTGGGACATAGTAGGAACTCAATAAAATTAGCTATCATCATTATCATCATCATCATTGTTGTTACTGCTCACCAATATACATTGGAATTGCCTGGAAAGGTTATTAAAAATGCATATTTTATGACCCTGTTTCCTCTGATTCCAATGCAGATGCTTTGATTGCTACTGGTCTTTGCAAGTCACTGCATGTTTTAGACGGAGGTCAGGAGACTATTCACTGTAGAGGTGCTGCACAGTGAACTCAGCTGCAGTTCAAATTCATCAAGTTCACGTGCTGTACCTTTTCCATCCGTTATCCACAGTCTTAGAAATCTCTCCAGGCTTCTCCATCAGCACCTCTTTCAGAGCCTCTGTTTTGTGGTCATATCAGGGCTGTTTTTTGGTGTGTTTTTTTTAATATATTTTATTGATTTTTTACAGAGGGGAAGGGACAGGGATAGAGAGTTAGAAACATCGATGAGAGAGAAACATCGATCAGCTGCCTCCTGCACACCCCCTACTGGGGATGTGCCCGCAACCCAGGTACATGCCCTTGACCGGAATCGAACCTGGGACCCTTGAGTCTGCAGGCTGACGCTCTATCCACTGAGCCAAACCAGTTAGGGCCAGGGCTGTTTTTTTTGTGTGTTTTTTCTTACCCATTAATGTTGGGATCTTCCTTTGGATCAAATGCAAATTAAGTTCTCTGTGTTGTGGATATGCCGGGCAACATACTTCGCTGGCCATGTACTAGCTCAGATCCTGGGCATTTAGCTTAGAACTGCCCGGGGGACTGTCACTGACCACTAGGTTGGAAGTGCGGGCATGACACATGGTGTCACACGTCATGCTCACTGGAGGGGGTGGCACTGGGGGCTGAATCCAGTCTTCTGGCCAGACCACCAGCCTGGCCTTGGACTGCCTCCTTCAGAAGGGCTCCTGGCTGAGGTGTCAGCCCGCGGTTCTGGGCCACCTTTCAATGATGTGGAGACCTGGAGGCGGGCATAGGAGTGGGAGGGTTTTTTGTTTGTTTTTGATTCTCACAAAGGCAAGGAAGCAAGAAAAGGAGGCGCCCACACTGCTCCCACTCACAGACCCTCGCCCCTCTTCTTATCCTCCCGCCCCATTCAAATCCGGAAGGAAGTTGGGGAGTGTTCCTGATGGGAATACTTCTCCCAGTGCAGGTGGGAAAGAACATTGCAGACTTCATTCCCAGAACCCTCTGGTAACAGAATATTTAGCCCTGGTTCAGACCCTAGGATATCTTCTGAAAATGTATGAATTCCTCAGAATGGATACAAAATGAACATAGCAGTGTTTTTTCGAATATATTTTTATTGATTTCAGAGAGAAAGAGAGAGGGGGAGATAGAAACATCAAAGATCGGCTGCCTCCTGCACACCCCACACTGGGGATCGAGCCTGAAACTCAGGCATGTGCCCTTAACCAGGAATCGAACCATGACCTCCTGGTTCATAGGTCCATGCTCAGCCATTGAGCCCCACCAGCTCCACTGGGCCTTCTCCATCTCCAGAATGAAGGAAGACTCTGTGGCCGTTCCCACATTTAAAATCCCATCCTGTAAATTAATTTTTAAGATATTTTTTCTTACAGTTTTAAAGGTTGTGCTGAATCCAACATAACAAAGTTTGCCATCTTAACTATTTTTACATGCACAGTCGAGTGGCATTAAGTACATTCACACTGTTGTGCGACCATCACCACCATCCACCTCCAGAATTCTTTCCGTCTTGCCAACTGAAACTGTGCCCCTTAGTAACGGGGTGTTTCTCATAACAGCACAGGTGTTGGCCACAGCTGCCTTTCGTGGTCGCTGTTTGGCTGGTAGGGTGCAGAGAAGTCGGGTGATTCAGCTCCGTGCCGTCAGAAAATCGCTGGCAAAGAAATTTGCATTCTTAGCTTTGGAATTTTCAAGCAGATGCCTTTGTATTGAGCTTCATTGCTTTTAATTCAATTCACCCACCTTACGGAGCATCTACTGTGTGTTCACGATAGACCAGCAGTATCGATCGGCCGGGCCTAAAGGAATGTGAATAATAGCAACGGCGTTTAAAAAGGAAATAGGCCCACGTAATGCGTTTGGAGAGATAATAAGACACCATATAAACTCTGAAGAGAACAATGTGTTCATTGTTACTATGATGTTATTTTACTGCTCAGCCTTTGCATGATGTTTTATTTCCACTCTCCGCTGAGGTGCTTTCGTCTTGAAAAGAGCTAATCATGTGCTAGGGGCCTTGCGAACTTGACCGTGTTCAGTTCAGAAGGAGTGTGTGTGTGTGTAGGTGCGCACAATGGCAATCTCAAAGGCAGGCCGCTCATTTCTTCTATGACCATTTTGTGCAGTTTTCTGAGCAGAGAACTGCCAAGCCTCCCTGAGCTGGTCTCTGTTTACACCCACTAGCGTGTCACTGAAAGCAACTGCTGTCCCCCAGCCGGCTGGCTGCCCTGAAGTTTTCCAACTAAAAACCAGCGCATCCCCCTCCATTTTCTCCACGTTCTGTGGTTCATCTTCACGGACTTGCACTGCATGGTGGTCGTTTTAAAGTCAACTGTGTGGATGACACATTCAGGGACACTTCTGGGTGTGGCCATTGTCAAAACAACCCAGTCCCTGTCATGCCACCACCAACCCCAAACCGGGACCGTTTGTACATTCACGGTGTGGAATACAGTGAAAATGGTCGAGCACAGCCATAGCCCTTCTCTCTGTCTGTTGATTTTACAGGGACTTTGTTCTGTATCTCCGAAGCGATTAGTGAGGGAGATGGCAACATCTGAGGACCCCAGTGTATTTCGAAACTCTGTTCTCCCTCCCGGTGTCCGGCATAATACCCTCGAAGGGTATTTTACCCCCAGTGATCTTGTTGAAAAATTATGCTACTTGAGATATTTATTTTTGTGGCCCTTAAACACTCACTTTTGTAGGTAACTTAATTTTTCGGAATCGCGGGCATGTGGATCCCCCCGCCTCTGCCATAATGTGCAATGAGCTAAGTTTCATTCCAGTAGCATCTACACAAGGAAAAAATGTAGACTGAAGAGGTAAAGTACAGGCTTTCAGCTGAATAAAGTTCAGTTGAATTACACTCATCTGCTCATATTTTTTCCCAAATAACATCAATATAAGCATTTCCTTGTGACAGTGGAGGGGGCACCAAGGGCTCCCCCAGGAGATGTGCAGGTTTAGAGATTGTATCTAATGCCCCCCCACACCCCTCACCCAGATGCTCCGCGGAGGACAGAGAGGATGGGTGACGAGTGGCTCTCGCCCTGTGGGTGACCGGTCTCTCCCTGTTGGCCAGGTTTCGGCGGTTGCATGCGGGACGTTGCGTTTGAGCGCGGCTCCACCCTCCACTTGGCATCTGTGTCCAGCGGCGCTGTCAGAGTCAATCTGGACGGATGCCTGTCAAGTGACAGCGCCGTTAACTGCAGGGGGAACGACTCCATCCTGGTGTACCGGGGCCCGGAGCCCAGCGTGCAGGAGCACGGGCTGCAGCCCTTCACAGGTAACGGGAACGGGAGGACTCTATCCATGTGACATGTCACCCACCTCCTCCCCTTCCTCGTCCTGTTCCCTCCTGCCAGCCCCTCCCCTTGTCTGCAGGGACTAACATTTTATTCCTTCTACTTCTTTCCATGTAAGAATACCTGTACCGCGTGATGGCCTCGCATGAAGGGGGTTCTGTCTGGAGTGACTGGAGCCGGGGGCGCACAACTGGAGCAGGTAAATAGCTTTTCTCTTCACCTGTCTATGTGCCCACACACGCACATGCCTGTGCACCCATGTTTGCGCATGTGAAGGAAAGGGAAGGCCATCACAGTCTTGGTGCAAGGAGCATGTTGCGCTCTGTGGCGGTGTGTGCCTTGGTTGGCTGACACATCTGCCGATGACTGAAGTGCTTTGCTTTTTCGGGTATTTAGTAAGTAGTGGCTGAGGCTTGACTCTTTCCTCTTCATAAGAAGAAACGTTCAATTTGTCTTAGGGATTTCACAGCCTGCATCTACAGTAATAGGCTGAGGACAGGAAGCCGTGGTATACTGGACAGGCCCCAGGAAGTGACATCGGGATGACCACTGAGGGGGTGGCCTCCCTCTCCCAGAAGGTGACCTTGAAACCTGTGCCTTGGTTGGAAGCACCTGGGTTTGGTACCATCATGCCAGATGTTTGCAATGGTGCTGACTGTAGGGTCTCTCCCAGGACAGAAATTGCTGACTGGTCTACTCTTTCTTTTAGTCGGAGTGGAGACAACTAGGAGTTAGATAGAATGCCCTAGGTCCCATCCCAGACAACCGATTTATGAGTGCATTGAGCGTCTGACGATGACAATACATCTTTTTGAGTAGTGTCATCACAGCAAGGCGTTCCTCACAGAAAGTTGTGTGAGTCAGAAGCCTTCTACCCTTTTGGGTCAGGTATCTGTGAGAGAGGCAAATACATTTCCATGTGATGCCACTTAACGTCTCTTCACATTGATCCTGAGCAAGTCACAGTTTATCCAAAGATACATTTTTCACCAAGATATTCTCTCACACTTTTTTGTTTTTAATCAACAATGGATGACTGACCCAGGAATCTTTTGTGAAATCTTGTCCATCTAAAAGATGACTGCATACTGAGATGGGCTACTAAGAATAATTTTTAAAGCTCTCTGCCTACAGATTTTCCAGAAGAAGACAGCATGCCCCTTTTCCCGGGATGATTTAAATGATCATCTATTTGTAGGCAAGACGATGAATTGAATGTTCAGAGTTTGGAGAAAGCTCTGATATAAAATATTTACTTGTTACTGGCATGTCCTCTGACCCTATTGCACACTTTTCTACTTTATTTTTTAATCCTCACCCGAGTATATTTTTCCATTGATTTTTAGAGAGTAGAAGGGAGGAGGAGAGAGAGAAACATCAGTGTGAGAGAGACACATCCATTGGTTGCCTCTCACAGGCACCCGACCAGGGCCAGGAATTTATCCTACAACCAAGGTAAATGCCCTTGACCGGAATCGAACCTGGAACCCTTCAGTCCACAGGCTGATGCTCTAACCACTGAGCAAACCATCCAGGGCCCACTTCTCTACTTTATTAGCACATACACCATAAAGCCTGCCTTTCGTCTGATTCCGGAAGTCAGTATCTAGAAAGTGCATCACTTAACAAGCTCAGTAGTCTCCCTTTTGAGGGCCACCGAGAAAATATGCAAATAGAACAGTGAATTTATAGCAACAGTCTGACCACCGAGTCTTTATGCCATAAATTCATATTTACAATCTGACCACAACCCTGAGCAGTGACGTGCTCCCGGGGGTTGGAGAATAATTGCGCTATTTAATTATTTTGGAGTCAGTTTTGCTCTGTCCCTTATGAGAAGACCATCTGTTAGACAGCCCTGTACTTTGCTGGGCACCGCATTTCAGAACTAATAAAATCAGCATCGCTCCCGGGATCCCTCTACTTGCAGCTCGACCGTGTGGCCGGCGTGCTTTCTGTGGACGCCCAAGCTGTTTTCACGGCACAGACCCCAGCTCTTCGCCTCCGAGCTTCCTCTCAGCCTTTGTGCTCATGTTGTCTCCCCGGAAGCTGGCCTTGTTTATTGGTCTGAACGGTGAAGTCTGAGCAGGAGGCTCCTGGATGGGGGAAACCCGGAGCGACCGTCCCCGACAGGGCCCCGGAGTCCAGGAGCAGCCACAGCAGGCCTCTCATCCATCATCCTGCCAGGGCTTCCTCGGGCCTTTTCTGTGTCCCCAGAGCAGTCAGCTGTGATGAAGTTTTTACTGATCAGATCCGTGGAAATACGTGATAAATAGTTAAAGGTATAGATTTTTAAAATTAGGGGACACAGCTTGTAAGTGAAGTTTTGCAGTTGCTTTAAAATCCCTTCTTTTGTGTTAGTGGGTTTGTGTGTGTGTGTGTGTTTAATATGTTTTTATTGATTTCAGAGAGGAAGGGAGAGGGAGACAGAGATAGAAACATCAATGATAAGAGAGAATCATGGATCAGCTGCCTCCTGCATGTCCCCCACTGGGGATTGAGCCGGCAACCCGGGCATGTGCCCTGACCTCCTGGTTCATAGGTTGAAACTCAACCACTGAGCCTCACCGGCTGAGCTGTGTTAGTGTTCTTTGATACTCTGTAGAAAACATCCCCCAAAATGATTGTGTAGAATCTCAAGGACACGCGCTTCTCCGCCCCCTGAAATGCAATTAGGAATGCATCTGTATATCATATCTGAGAGAATTTTGATTTTTTTAAAAAATAATTTGAGAACAGTTGAATTTAGAAAGTGAGATCAGACATCCCAGTAAAATACCATCACATTTGTGATAATTTTTGGCTAATCCACCGAAGATATAAAAGTGTCAAACCGCTGTGTATAATAACAGTCTTAATTACCTCGCTTCAAAGGGGGACATCGTTCCATTGTTTGAACTTGTTACCTGCCCACCGTCCACCTCCTCCCTTATGAGTGATGTTTGAAACATGTCGGCTCTGTTAAGTGTTTGGGGAAAGCCTGGACCAGACTCGAAAGCACGTTATGTCGATGGAGTTTTGATGGTTTTGAAATATCGCTTAAGCCGAATGGCTCAAGATGTGCAGTCATATTAAATCAGTGCTGAAAAGTTACAACTCTAATAAATTGTATTTATGCTAATGGTCGAGCCTGATTTACTGCGGCCATTAAAAGTGAAGAATGGGGCAGCAGTCTCCTCCGCTCGGCCATTTCCTCTTATTTTCTCTCTCTCTCGTCCGCAGCTCCACCCAGCGTGCCAGCCCCCTCCGGGGTCCGCAGCATAAACGGATCGAGCGTGCAAGTGGCCTGGGATGAACCTGTGGAGGTCAGAGGTGTGATTGAGAAGTACATCCTGAGAGCCTGCCCTGAGGGTGGCGGGCCCGGCCCACCCCGCACCCCCTGTGTCACGTCTGAGCTTGTGTATACCAGCAACCTCACAGGTAGAGGCAATTCCTCGTGGGAGTAAACCTTATTCATTTGCTTTTTGTTTGATTTTAAGTAAAAGCATTCTTTAAGGTTTCTTTCCGCCAAAAGCATTCATTATTCATCTCTATGTGCCTGCTTAAAAACAGGAATCAGCCTGGCTGACGTGGCTCAGTGTTTGAGTGTCCACCTATGAACCGGGAGGTCAAGGTCACGGGCTTGAACTTCAATAGGGGGTGGGCAGGAGGCAGCCAATGGATGATTCTCTCTCATCATTGATGTTTCTTTCTCTCTTCTTCTCCCTTCCTCTCTCTGAAATCAATTAAAAAGACACATAAAAATTAAAAATAATAGTCGTTAAACAACAAAACAACCATCTAATGAGATGGAAGCCTGCGTCCATTTGAGGTGAAAAGAGTCATCATGGGCTTTTATGCATAGCTTCCGGGCAAGGCTGCTATTCTCTGTCCCCAGGAGATTAGGTCACAGGTGTCTAGAGCTCTTAAAGCTCTTCAGACATCTTCTAGGGATCCTGCATGTTCATACAGCACCAGCAGACCTACCTCACCATGCAAAAAATGCACTCTCTGGGACCAGCCCAAGTTCATGGCACCATTACTTATTGTAAAATTGCTGATTAAACCTAATTATGTCCGGGTACAGGAGGATCAGAGTGCCAGCAGTTTGGTGGGCGCCCGGTGAATCAATTTCTCACGGGGCCACGCAGACCGATGGGAGTGGATTAGACTCATGGACATCACACACATGTCCCGGACTCAAATCCGTGCACACGTGTGATAAGGGCAGCTTACAGCTTCATGAAGTGTTACAGCACCTGAAATAGAAAGTCAGAATAAGTCTTTGACCAAAAAAAGGAAAATACTTCATAAATATGATAGAAAAAAAACATGTTTTCCTCTGTCAAAGAATTTTATAACTTGAAAAATCATATGGATTTTGGAGTGGCCGTAATGATCTTGTCAGGGGGCTATTGGTCCACCCCCTTGAGCCCTTACTTCCTTTTTTAGACTCTTTAGCCTCTACAGCTCAAATATACCAACAGTTTCTTTTTAATCTGTTTTTACTTCCTTTGTTTTTATTTTTACCACCTGATAAAAGCCCGCCCTGAGTTAGTCCACAGTTTGACTTTGCCCAATGGGCACGTTGTAGCTAAAGGGGCTGAATCACACACACACACACACACACACACAGTTTAGCACTAAAAATTCTCAGCCTGCATTTTCCAAATAGGCACTCGGTCATGACGCCAGTCCTATCACATTTCTAAAATAAGCTCCTTCTCCCAGCCTCCTCATTAAATATTTTATATTTTTCCAAACTATCTAAATGCTAGCCTCGCTTTCTCATCCAGCTCGGTGGATATTTATATCAAATCATCTTAAACATCCGAGGAGAAACCGAATCTATCACATGGGCTTTCTTACAAACAAGTAGATGCATCAGTTGCATTTCTCTGACGGAGAGGGTGGTTATTGGGGTTTAAAGGAATCAACGCTTTAAAAATAATTCTCACCATAGAATCGGTATTAGCCATCACCGTTATTTTCGTTTTTATTTTTTACTTGTCTCTTGCCTGTGTGATCTCAGGGGAATTTACAAACATACCCCCAGACCAGAGTCTTCTCATATATAGAATGGGGGTAGAAACCTTTTTTATGTTTTATAATTGTTGTAAAGATAAAAAATGAATTTCCTACATAAAGTATTTTGCTCAGAGATAAGCACTTAGTAAGTGGCCAGGGAATTAATTGTCTTTATGCTCTTTAGTCTCTGGATTCTAGGTTATTGCTTCATAATTGTTTCCCTTTCATTTTCCTGAGTTTTGCAGAGTTGATTCTACTCTTTGAGCCTTTTGAGATCATTTTTAAAGTTTTTTTTGCATGTGATTCTTTTATATAATTTGCATTTGTTCCTCATCTCACCAGCTTGCTTGCCTCTCAACAGTCTCAGTGTTTCTCTCTTTTGTTTGACATTTACCATCTCTCTCTCATTTAATCGATTCCAAGTTCTTTTTTTCTTGTTAAAATCTTTTTTGTAATCTTTATTGTTGAAAGTATTACACATGTCCCCTTTATTCCCCCATTGACCTCTTCCAGCCCTCCCCTACCCCCAACCCTAGGCCTTCTCCACCCTATTGTCTCTGTCCTTGGGTTATGCATATATGCATACAAGTTCTTTGGTTGATCTCGTCCCACCCACCCACTCTCCCCACCTTCCCTCTGAGGTTAGAAAGTCCTTTCCAGGCTTGTGACTAAGATCAAGTGTAGAATCTATTCTTAGCACATTCCAAGTTCTTGTAGATCTTTTGCATAGCATGAAACTGATGAGGAGGAAACAGGTTTCCTGACTTATCTCCTCCCAGAGCACCATAGTGGGGTCTAAAGGCAACCCCAAGTTTGGCTAAATGCAGCCCAGCCCCTAATTAGAGCAGTCAGTTCCCCATCCTTAAACTTGTCTTTAGATTGGTGTTCACTCAAGAAAATGAAATCATTTTCAGATTAATTTACGGGACATCTAGTGGTTAATAAGAACCTTTGCTGGGATTAGGATGGGGTCCACAGATAAGTTTGTGTTGGCCTCAGAGTAATCTGTAAGCCTCAACCTCTGTCTCAGTATTTCGAGAAGGAGGGGGCTGAGAGCTCATGGACGTACTGGACCAGCTCCAGATTCCACTGGCTCCGGGCTCTCCTTCAAGTCAGGTGTCCGTTGGCCTGTGTTTCATGTCCTGCCATGTGTGTATAAACCTTGGGTCATTACACTGGGGTTCTTACAGGGCAGTACTCAACCAGATGCAAAATAAGCCATGCAGGGAGCTTTACAAATGCTGGCTCCTGGGCACCACCTGGGGCGGCCTCAGTGTTTGGTCTGGAATGCAGCCTGGGTGCTGGTAGGTGGGTATTTTCTCATTGTCTATGGGTCATGGTAAAGCCAGCATTGGGAGACCCTGGTCCAGGCGGAGTCTGACCAGCGGTCAAGTCTCAGTTTTGCCCAGAAATTCTCATAACAGCTTCCACTTCACCTGAAACTTGAAAATGTAGGACAAGAAAATGTTAACCATCTATAGAAAAAGGATAAAAGAGTAAAAGTAGCTCCCTAAAATCAGCAAAGGAAAAGATTAGCTCTATAAATAGACCAAAATTAAGTGAAATGGGTTATTGAAAAGAAATGGGAAATGTGGTCAGGCTTACAAAATGCAGAAGGCAAACGGGGTAGGGGGGGGATGAATATGAGGGAAGGCAACTGGGAGAAGAATGAGACGGAATATTTACCACTAATGAATTTGGCTACGGGAGGATTAAATGAGATAAATCCCAGAAGCATGGAGAGTCCAAGGGTTAACAGCCCCACTCAAGAGCAAATGGGCCCCTGTGGGCTGCGGGGGCCAGCTTCCCTGCCCTCCCAAGGCCAGGGTTCAGAGCAGGGCGCGCTTGAAGTTCATTTCCTCGCTGGCGCCCCAGGGCAGAAAGCCCGGCAGTCACCACGCCTGTGTATCCTCAGACTTCTCGCAAAGGCCTCCAATTAGCAGTGTGGCTCGGAGGATTCTCCCTGCAGCCCTGTTAACACGGGAAGCTGCTGCCCTGGGAGACAGCCCTGGCGTTTTCTGCTCAGAAAGTGACTTCTCAGTTGGATTTGAGATGATGTGAAGAATGTGTGGGTTCAACAATGTGCACGGACACAATCATTTCCTTCTCTTTCATTTTTTAATTTTTGTTTTTTTAATCTTTATTGTTGAAAGTATTACATATGTCTCCCTTTTTCACCCATTGACCCCTTCTAGCCCAACCCCACCTCCCTCCCTAGGCCTTCACCACCCTATTGTCTGTGCCCATGGGTTATGCATATATGCATACAAGTTCTTGGGTTGATCACTTCCCACCCACCCACCCTCCCCTGACTATAATTATTTCTTTTTCTTTTTTTCTTAAGTGGTTTAAACGTATATACTTAATTATGAACATAATTTGTAGTGCTAGGGATATAATTGGTACATAGAAGATATTTTCTCATTACATTAAAATAAAGTCTAGGAGTTATATTTCTTTCTCAAATAGAATCATAGATAATAGTATGTATTATTCACTATAGTTTCATAGAAGAATCAATAATAGTCTTTCAGATAACCCAGATACTAGTAAATCTAAATGTATGTAGAAATGAAAGACATTTTAACTTATTATTAAGACAGCTTTTGCTTAGACAACTGGCTCAGTCTTCATTTGCAGGAGAGGCTAGTCTACCTGAAGCAGGTGGGTGACATACTGAAAAGGTGTCTCTCCCTTTTCTCTCTCTTGCACAGCTAGTAGTATAATTCACAACTCTCTTGGTCATAAGGAGATTCCCTAATTGCTTAAAAATGCAGATTCTTGGGTTCTACACGGGAGACTCTGCATACTTGGGCTAGGATTAGAAACCTGCCTTTTACCAAGTGTTCTCCTGCAGATGGTCCAGGGACCACATGCTGCAACCTCCTGGGGAGGGAGCGACCAGCTGAGAGGGCTGATTGTCCTGCTTCGTTTGTTCCTGCCCCTGGTTCCTAGCATGAGCTCTGTGAGCAGAACATGCTAAGACAGTGGAGACCGAGGCAGTGTCCGTAGGGCCTCTGCTGTGATGGATAGCTCTTCTGGAAGGAGGGGAGAACTATTTGGGTTCTTGTCAACTGCAGATTCTGATGCCGGGACTGGGGATGTGGTGTGAGAGTCTGCCGTTCTAATAAGAACCCACCCCCCTTCACTGTGATTCCCAGTAACAAGGCTCACTATTTACATAGGAAATGAAAAGCACCTTTTATGTGATTTTTGCCTTATGCCTGACTTGGGAACTTAACCTCAGTGATTAGTCCCTCCATAACTAAGACCCTGCTCGTTATGTGTATGTATACATATACACACATGTATATGTTATATACAAGTTATGTGAATGTACTATGATTATATTTACTCGAGAAGCCTGCAGAGAGGTGATTATAATACAAGCTTTGATGCCAGGTATGTTGTTG